AAATAAATAAACGTTAAAAAAATAAAAAAGAAAGAAAATGAAAAGTGAAGGTCTCTCCACATATCTCTTACCCTTAACCTCTGTTCTCAAGGGTATCTGTTATTAACTCTTGCTTGTATAACCTTACATTTTAAAAAATCCTGCTCATGCAGATGGGATCATATGGTACATTTTGTTTTGCCTCTTGTCTTTTTCTCTCAGTATACCTTGGTAACCTTTCCATAATGAACACACACAACTCTGGGTCATTAGAACCATGGTTGCGTAGGATTCTCCTGTGTGATCGCACCCCATTTATTTAATTTGTCCCCTGTTGGTGGACATTCTTTTTACTTTTGTGCTAGTACGAAAACCTGGTAAATGGACATCTCTGAATTTGTAATTTGATGTTTTTTTGGCATCACATCCAAAAGAGTAAATTTTTATGTTGAAATTTCTGGTGCATTTTAAGTTTTAATAAATATTGCCAAATTCCTCTCTAAAATGGTGTTCCAAGCATCAACAGTGGATATTAGCACAGGACAGTTGGAAAATGTGATTTTACCAGTCTGATAGGTTTTCTTTCAGTTCTGAGGAAGGGAGTAAAGTATGGTATTGAAATGTTGCATTTTCCTATATCTTGTTTTTCCCTTCATATATATTTTTTAAGTTGATTTATTTATTTTGAGAGAGAGAGAGAGAGAGAGAGAGAGCATGAGCAGGGGAGGACAGAGAGAGATGGAGAGAGAATCCCAAGCAGGCTCTGAGCTGTGGCAGAGCCTGAGGCGGGGCTTGAATCTCATGAACCCATGAGATCATGACTTGCTGAGATCGAGTTGGACGCTTAACCAACTGAGCCACCCAGGCGCCCCTTCATTTTTTTTAAAGTCTTTTTTATTTTTTAATTTATTTTGAGAGAGAGAAAGAGAGTGTGCGTTCATGCATGTGCAAGTAACCGGGGGACAAAGAGAGGGAGACAGAAGATCCCAAGCAGGCTCTGCGCTGTCAGCACAGAGCCTGATGCGGGGCTCGAACTCATGAGCCTGGTAAGATCAAGAGCTGAGCCACCCAGGCGCCCCTCCCTTTGTATTTTGATTGCCAAAGGCAGCAGCAGGAAGTGCTTGGAGGGCTTGGTTGGAACAGTCAAAAGAAATGTGAATAACAGTGATGCCTTAGTCCTGTGACAACTTTCAGGGCTGATTTATTTGGGAATTTTGCAGATATCTGACAGTTGTCTTCCTTTCTGAAGCAAATGTTAAGTTTAACTACTTTGGGTGAAAAAATTCCAGAAATTATGCCATCAGTTCCTTGACTTTAAAATGAATATAAACAGATAAGAATCTTCTTGAGGACTCAGGCCCATCACTTATAGCCCTGGGCTATAATTTGGTGCTGTCCTAAGGCTATTTTGAATATGTAGGAGCACTTAGTACTGCCTCCCTAAATGGCCTCAGGCTGATGTTTTGAAAAAAAATTCCTGGATCTATTTTTTAAGAAACATTTTTTACTTTCCTAGTTGTCAGTTCTCACTTTTGTCGGTTTGCTTGCTTATAGAGGATCCTCTCTACTTCTCTCCCTAAATGGCTGTCTAGTTTCTAAGTTGAAACAAGTGAAATGCATCACTTGTTATAAATATGTATAAAGTAGGCGTGAACTGCCAGTTAATAAGGTTGTTGTGGGTGTTGAATGATTATAAGCCATGTAGTTAGTACATGGACCATAGGGAATCCATTTTGCCAGTCCAAGAGCCCTTTTTGTGGGGAGGAAGTACCTGGTTTTTGGCTGGTTGGGGTATTGTGGGTATAGCATTTGTAGAAAGGAAGAGCGCTAAGGAGTTGTGAGTTGCGGTTGGCATCTCTAACCAGGCCTTTTGTGATTCCAAGAGAGGGAGGCGACCGTCTTTGGTTCTAGAAACTTCCCTGTACTCAGTGGGTCGGTATGGAAAAGGGGTAGTCATGATTGTTACGGAAACCGAAGTTCTGCTGCTTGCCGCTCTAAAGGTCAATACTCAACAGACAGACGAGTTTTGATTGAAAAAGAATGTGAGTTTCATTCAGAAGAAGCCCAGGGACCTGGGGAGAAAGCAGACTCTTGTCTAAAAGCCAACACTAAGGTTTCTGCCTGACCCAGGGATTTTTAAAGGGATTTAATCAGTTAAGGGAGTACATTGGCCTTTGACATTTCTTGATTATGTGAGGACGTGATGATGCCAGCTACAGAATTATCTCAGTGCTCAGAGGTTGTGCAAGAAGGTCTGGTTCCTTGGTACCAGGGCTTGTGCAAGTGTACTCTGTTCTTTCTGCAAAGGAGGGCAATGTTTGCAGATGCGTCAAGGGAGGTCAGCAAAGTCATTTCTGTGACCTTAAAACAGAAAAACATTTTGCTAAATGTTTGCCGGGCTAATCGGAAAGCTGGGGTGGCTTCAAACAGACTTGCTGGCCTCTGTGGCCTAGGAAAGTTCGGGTCCTTCACTCCCCAAGGCCAGTGGCCCTCAAATCTTAAAGACAGTAAATTAGTTCTGTTACAGATCAAGGGCCTTAAGTCAGCAAGCAAGGACTGTGTTAACGTGAAGTAGGTTAACCCTTAAGACCTAGCTGGAGGGCTGTTACTGGTTGGCTCTATGGTTTGTGTGATGTGAAAAGATGGAGGAGAGAGAGCTCAGAGAACATCAGCGTTTCTCACTAGCAAAAGGATGTTAAACTTGATTTATACCTGTTCTACTTAGTAATTAAGAAAGGAGTATTCCTTTGTACTTACCAAACTTTCTTTGGCCAAAGCACTCTGCCAGGTGCTATGAGGGATAGCAAATGAAATAAGACATGGCTTGTACCTTCAAAGGCTTGTAGTCCCCTGACAGACAAGGGCTAAGACCTAAAGTTTAGAGGTATGAACCAAGGATAGTGGAGTCAATCAGTTAAGAGTTTCTCAGTTGCAAGAGATAGAAAACCCAATTCAGACCAGCCAAGGCAAGAAGGGACATAACTGGCTTCTGGCACAGCATGAGTTGGGGCTCAGATGGTGTCCCTGGGCTCCATCTGTTGCTCCTGCCTGAACTGAGCTGTCATTTTTGTTGGGCAGTTCTCTTGGCAGTGAGGCAACATCTTTGACATCCACATGCCCACCGAGTAGAGTGCTCTTTTTTGGATCCCCCAGTAAACATTTCAATGCTCTTCATTGCTCTGACCAAGCCACGTGGCCATCGCTGAGCTAATCACTATGGTCAGAAGGTGGGATATGTTGATTGTGTTAGCCTCTGTTATATCTAGAGCCTGGGGATGTGGCCAGCTTGATGCCAAACACATTGGCCAATGGAGCACCTGGGTGTGTCAGTCGGTTAAGCAACTGACTTTGGCTCAGGTCATGTTCTCACCGCTCATGAGTTTGAGTCCCACATCAGGCTTTGTGCTGACTGCTCAGAGTCTGGAGCCTGCTTTGGATTCTGTGTCTCCTTCTCTTTCTGCCCCTCTTCTAATCACACTCTCTTTCTCAAAAATAAGTAAAATTTAAAAATTTTTAAAAATTCAAAATACATTGGCCAAGAATGGGGAAAGGGTGGTTCTATCAAAGCCAGAAAAGGTATTAGAACCATAAGAATGATGGATATATGCTGGCTAGTCCAAGAGTCCACCAAATCCTTTCACGAAGTCATAATAAGCGTGTGCCGAGACTGGTAAGTACAGCCTCTGAGTTCTGTATCAGGACTGAACTATAAGTCTTAGATTTAGGTATTATCTATATTTTGAATCTCAGAAAATTTTTAAATGTTTATATTATTTTTGAGAGGGAGAGAGTGAGTGGGGGCGGGGCAGAGAGAGAAGGGGACACAGAATTCGAAGCAGGCTCTAGGCTCTGAGCTGTCAGTACAGAGCCCAACATGGGGCTCAAACCCATGAACTGCAAGATCGTAACCTGAGCTGAAGTCAGATGCTTAACCAACTGAGCCACCCAGGGGCCCCTATATTTTGAGACTTGAAGAAAGTCTAGTATAGGCATAAGAGCAGGATTTCCGAAGGGTAGCTGACCTGGTTTTTTTTTTTTTTTTTTTTAATTTTTTTTTAATGTTTTATTTATTTCTAGGAGAGAGAGAGAGAGACAGCATGAGCAGGGGAGGGTCAGAGAGAGAGGGAGTCACAGACTGAAACAGGCTCCAGGCTCTGAGCCGGCAGTCAGCACAGAGCCCGACGCGGGGCTCGAACCCACGAACCGCGAGATTGTGACCTAAGCGAAAGTCGGACGCTCAACCGACTAAGCCACCCAGGCGCCCCGGTAGCTGACCTGGTTTTAAGTCCTGGCTCTGTCATCTCTGACCTTCTCTATGTCTCAATTTCCTTATTGGAAAAAAGACAATATTGGTATTTTATCATCGGGTTTTTATAAAAATTTTTTGAAAGACTCCATGTAAAACACCATACCATGCCATATGCAGTTAGTTCTAGTTATTTTTATTGTTTTTCATAAATTAACCCAGTTGATAGGCTCTGATTTTTGTTAGATTCCTAAATAGCCCATATCATAAAGGCATTACCAAACCAGTGATTTTGGAAGAATTAGAAAAATTTGGAGCACCTGGGTGGCTGACTCAGTTAAGAGTCTGACTCCGCCCCCCCATGTTTGTTTATTTTTGACAGATGCCGAGCATGAGCAGGAGAGGGGCAGAGAGAGAGAGAGAGAGAGAGTGAGAAACAGAATCTCACGCAGGCTCTAGGCTTTGAGCTGTCAGCACAGAGCCAGACCCGGGGTTCAGACTCACCGACAGCAAGATCATGGCCTGAGCCAAAGTCGGACACTCAACCAATTGAGCCACCCAGGTGCTCCAGTGTCTGACTCTTAATATTGGCTCAGCTCATAATCTCATGATTCATGAGATGGAGCCCCCCTCTGTGCTGTCCGCACAAAGCCTTCTTGGCCTTCTCTCTCTTTCTCAAAAATAAATAAACAACCCTTAAAAAAAAAAAGAAAAATTAATTGGTAAATTAACTTCAAAACATACAGGCCACTCCAGAGCAGCGGCTGGCGGAGACATGGAGATGCAATCATATTATGCCAAGCTCTTGGGGGAATTGAATGAACAGCGGAAGAGGGACTTTTTCTGTGACTGCAGCATCATTGTGGAAGGGCGGATCTTCAAGGCCCACAGAAACATTTTGTTTGCCAACAGCGGCTACTTCCGAGCCCTGCTCATTCACTACATCCAGGACAGCGGGCGGCACAGCACCGCCTCCCTGGACATAGTCACCTCTGATGCCTTCTCCACCATCTTAGACTTCCTGTACTCTGGGAAGCTGGATTTGTGTGGGGAGAACGTGATCGAAGTCATGTCGGCGGCCAGCTACCTGCAGATGAACGAGGTCGTGAACTTCTGCAAGACCTACATCCGGTCGTCCCTTGATATCTGCCGGAAGATGGAGAAGGAGGCTGCCATGGCCGCTGCGGTGGCGGCGGCGGCGGCGGCGGCGGCGGCAGCGGCGGCGGCTCATCAGGTGGACAGCGGAAGCCCCGGTTCAGGCAGGGAAGGGACCTCCTGTGTCACCAAGAGCTTGGGCTCCTCTCCAGCCCGGGGAGAGGAGAGTGCGGACTGTCCAAGGGAGTCGCCTTGCAGTGCCTGCAAAGACTGCCACCCGCTGGAACTGGTGGTGAAGGAAAGCCAGGGCAGTGGCCCCGCTGACAGTGACCTCTCTATTCTGCCCAAACAGATAGAGCCCAAGGTGGAGTTTGATGCCGACGAGGTGGAGGTGGAGTTGGGTGAACAGCTGCAGCCGTATGCCACCCCGCTCAGCCTGGCCCACATGGACGAGGGTTTGCCCGGTGGCCAGGCCGTCGACTTGGCTTACAGTAACTACCACGTAAAGCAATTCCTGGAGGCACTCCTGTGCAATGGTGCCGTCCCGAGCAAAGAGGATGGGGACCGTCACTTTTCTCAGAACTTGGAGGGAAGACCAGAGGGTGCAGGAAGAGCGGGGGGTGCCGTGATGGATGTCCAGACGCACTGGTATGCAGAGGACTCAGGTGAGCTCCATTAGCATTCAGCACCTCTGTTGGTCATTTAGCACACACGCCTGTGCCTTATCGGCTCCATCATCATGTTCATCATCATTGCCATTGTCATTGCCATCATCGTCACCATCATCTCCACCACCATCATTACCACATCACCCCCACTACCAGTAGGTGTTAACTGAGCACCTGCTGTGTGCAAGGCCTTGTCTCTCCCTGTGCATTCATATTTTACCTCTACAACTAGAGTATAAGCCTGTTGAGGGCAGCTTCGAGACTGGAAATAATCTATTGTCTTGTGCTAATCAGCAGTGGGACTTCAGTTAAATCAGGAAATCTCTTTGAACCCATTTTGTTCTGGAGATAATCATCCCTGCCTTGCCTTTCTCACAGCATTGAGGACCAAACGAGAAGGTTTTCAGAATTTTCTCTCATGTACGATAACATATTCTAGACAGGTAAGAAGTGTATTCTTTGTGTCAACTTTGGTGCCTGGCACATAGCAGACATGCAGTCGTGGTTGATGGTGCATCTACCTGAGAATATCTAAGATGAGTTGGCATTTAGCTTTATGTGAGTAAATTTCTTATATCCTTTGGTAGACTTTAAAAAAATATTTAAGGGGCCCCTGGGTGGCTCAGTCAGTTAAGCGTCTGACTTTGGCTCAGGTCATGATCTCACAGTTCATGAGTTTGAGCACTGCGCTCTGTGCTGATAGATCAGAGCCTAGCACCTGCTTCAGATTCTGTATTTCCCTCTCTCTCTGTGCCCCTCCCCCGATCTTGCCCCCCCCTTGCACTCTGTCTTCATCTCTCTCAGAAATAAATAAATATTAAAAAATTTAATGTTGATAACTCTAAAGATCTGTGTGTGTGTTTTTAAAAATTTTTTTTATTTATTTCTGTGTGTTTTAATTAAGTCATCAACTTGATTAGGAAAGAAAGGAAATTTTTATATCAGGAATAGATTTTATTTTATATAATGAATATTAGGAATATCAGGAATATTTTTTATTCCTTTAAAAAATTTTTTAATGTTTATTTATTTTTGAGAGACAGAGCATGAGAGGGGGAGGGGCAGAGAGAGAGGGAGACACAGAATCCAAAGCAGGCTCCAGGATCTGAGCTGTCAGCACAGAGCCTGATGTGGGGCTCGAACTCACGGACTGTGATATCATGACCTGATCCGAAGTTAGATGCTTAACCGACTGAGCCACCCAGGTGCCTCTTTATTCCTTTTTAAAAAAGGAAAATTTTATATTAATTATTTTCCTTTGGTAGGCTTTTGTGTTTTAAGAGAACTTGGTTGTTCCCCTGAACAATTCTTTTTTTTTTTTTAATTTTTTAAAAAATTTATTTCTGAGAGAGAGAGAGAGAGGCAGTGTGAGCATGGGAGGGTCAGAGAGAGGGAAACACAGAATCTGAAGCAGGCTCCAGGCTCTGAGCTAGCTGTCAGCACAGAGCCCGATGCAGGGTTCGAATCCACAAACCGTGAGATCATGACCTGAGATGAAGTCAGCCGCCCAACCAACTGAGCAACCCAGGCGCCCCGTCCTGTAAACAATTCTGAGAGATGAGTTAACATGACTAACTCTCCTGAGTAGGTAGGGTAATTGTGTTGTAAAGTGTTTTGGAGAGAGAAATAGATTTGGCTGCTACCTTCCTGATGAAAGTACGCTATAGCTTCCAGAACCTCAAGCCAAGAAATTAACGAATCCCAATTTAAAGTCACCCTTCAATACTGATCAGTGAAAGTATTTTAGATAAGGGAGATCAGCTGCTTTTATTCGTTATTAAATGGCTGTCTTGAGATGTTTAATTTCATTTTTTTTAAGGCAAGCACGCTCTGTATGCCTGATTAAAACTAGGCTTGGAAACTTGAAAATGCTCTTTCTGATCTTCAGGGACACTGGCTTAACCAGCATTTAGAAGGTAGTGGCTGTTTTTAGCAAACCACACTGTGGGAAGGGGTTGAAATCTCATTTCCGTGCATAACAGCACTTCACAGTCGGTGACCACGCTTTTACATCCATTAGACCCTCCTAAGTTTGGCAGAAGAGTGTGGAGAAACCAAGACCCACAGGGTTTGGTGAATTTCCTAAGAATGCAGAGCTGGTAAGTGGCAGAGCTAAATCTAGCAACCCGGGCTGGCTTCATTTCATTGAAACAAACTCTGAAGGCAGCACAAATGAACAGAGGATTTCAGTGCCGTGATTTTATCTTTTAAGCCTTCTGCCGGAAGCACAAGTATCAAGAAATAGCAATTCAGCTCTACACCATCTTCATTCAAGTCCAGTCCATCAGTCTGTAAAGTCAGGTTTCCAACTATGTGCTGTGGCAAGGCAGCCACCCTGGCCTTGGCCATGCCTGTCCTCTGCCAGGTTTTGATTCCATTTGCGTGGATCCTGGGTAAATTTTATTTCAAATGCCAAGGCACAGAGTAGCACTGATTTGTTTGGTCATTCGTGTATTTGCTCAAATATTTGAGTACCTTCCTGGTGAAGATACAAAGATAAGTCAGACATGGATCCAGCCCTCAAAGAACTGATGGTGTCTTAGACGAGATGAGATGTGTGTAACTGGCATCAGGTGATGGAAAGGCACCAGGGCTGGAAGACAGATGGAGGTGTGATTTTCACAGTAGTCTAGAAGCAGGAGAGCCAGATTCCTCCCGGGAGATCAGGGAGGCATTATGAAGGTGGCATCTGAGGTAAGAAGAGACATAGGGAGAAATCGATTGGAGTCGGATTATGGAAAACCTTAAATGCTAAGAGGTAAGGTTTGGTCTGTAGGCATAGGGGAATTTTTGGTGGTTCCTGAGCTTGGAAGTGGATAGGAGCTGTGCTTGTGGGACATTAGTTTGGCCTCAGCACCTGACGGTGAGGAGACGGGAGACGAGGGCGAGGGCAGAAGACAGTCAGGAGGGTGTTGTGATAATTCTGTAGCCACGTTGCTTATATCTGACGTTAGCAGGCACTGACAGGTCATAAGGTCCTCCTGTAAGCTCTTCCCCCCCAGACCTCCCAACCCCAGCTCCTGCACCGCCATTGCTTCTTGGAAGGTTCATCTACATTGGTCACCTCCACTGTTTTACTTCCTTCTCTTTTCTCAGCCCACTGTAGTCTGGCTTCCGCCTCTTCCACACCACTGACACTGCTGTCATGAGGTAAGCCATAGATTATTCTAGAGTCAGTCCAATACATGATTTTCAGGTGTTACCTTACTTGGCCTCTCTCGGTAGTTGACTCTGCCGTTTCTCTCCTTGAAATTCTTTCTTCCTCTGGTCTCTGACACCATGGATACTCATTCCTCTTACCTCTGCCATTCCTTTCCAGCCTCATCATGGGCTCATTTAATGCCAGCGTGTCCAGTTCTCCATCACTGGCTTGCTTCTTCAACATCTTATCATTCTTGCTAATTAATTAGTTAATTAACTCAGCAGTTTGTTCTCTGTATTTATAGGTCCGATTCTGCTTTTTGTTTGCTTATTCATTTATTTTGTTTTTTAGATTCCATGTATGAGTGAAATCATATGGTGTTTGTCTTTCTCAGTATGACGTATTTCACTTAGCATTATACTCTCTAGGTCCATCCATGTAGTTGCAAATGACATGACCTTGTTCTTTTTTATGGCCGAGTAATATTCATGTGTGTGTGTGTGTGTGTGTGTGTGTGTATACATATGCAGCACATTTATATCACATCTTCTTTATCCATTCATCTATTGTTGGACACAAGTTGTTTCCATACCTTGGCTATTGTAAATAATGCTGCAATAAACAGAAGGGTGCATGTAATTTTTCAAATTAGTGGGTTTTTTTTTAAAGTTTATTTATTTATTTTAAAAGATTGAAGTCATACTATGCCTCTTTTTTTTAATGTTTTTTATTTAATTTATTTCTGAGAGAGAGAGAGAGACAGCGTGAACAGGGGAGGGTCAGAGAGAGAGGGAGACACAGAATCCGAAATAGGCTCCAGGCTCTGAGCTAGCTGTCAGCACAGAGCCTGACATGGGGCTCGAACCCACAAACCATGAGCTCATGACCTGAGCCGAAGTTGGACACTTAACCGACTGAGCCATCCAGGTGCCCCAAAGTTTATTTATTTTTAGAGAGAGAGAGCATGAGCAAGTGAGGAGCAGGGAGAGAGGGAGAGAGAGAATCTCAAGCAGTCTCCGTGCTGTCAGCACAGAGCCTGATGTGGGGCTTGAACTCACCAACTGGGAGATCATGATGTGAGCCAAAATCAAGAGTCAGATGCTTAACTGACTGAGCCACCCAGGCGCCCTCAAATCAGTGTTTTTGTTTCCTTTGGGTAAATACCCAGTAGCGGAATTTGAGGGACCTCCATACTATTTACCACAGTGGCTGTACCAACTTACATTCCCACCAACAGGGCACGAGAGTTCCTTTTTCTTTACATCCTTTCCAGCACTTGTCATTTCTTTTTGATTCTAGCCATTCTGACAGGTGTAAGGTGATAACTCATTGTGATTTGCATTTCCCTGATGATTAGTGATGTTAAGCATCTTTATGTGTCTGTTGGCCATCTGTATGCCTTCTGTAGAAAAATGTCTGTTCAGGTCCTCTGCCTATTTTTTAAATCATATTGTTTTTATGGTGTTGAATTGTGTAAGTTCTTTATATATTGTGGATACTAACCCCTTATTGGATTTGTCAGTTGCAAATATCTTCTTTCATTCCTTAGGTTGCCTTTTTGTTTTGTTGATGGTTTCCTTTGCTGTGCAAAAGCTTTTTATTTTGTTGTAGCACCAATAGTTTATTTTTACTTTTTTTCCCCTTGCCTTAGGAGACATGTCAAGAAAAATGTTGCTGAGGCCGATGTCAAAGAAATGACTGCCTGTGCTCTCTTCTAGGGTGTTTATGGTTTCAGGTGTCACATTTAGGTCTTCAGTCCATTTTGAGTTTAATTTTGTGTATGGTATACGAAAGTGATCTAGTTTCATTCTTGTGTACGTAGCTGTCCAGTTTTCCCAGCATCGTTAATTGAAGA